AAATATTCACGAAAATATTCAAGAAATATTCAAAGGAATGATTGATTACAAAGATTATCAAATGTGATAAGGGGGGGAGGAAACCTGTGTTTTCCGCATATCTTGCGTTCTACAAAATTGCCAGGAAAACCAAAGGAGTGATCTTCATAGGGAACCAGTGTGATGATGGTTGGTGAAATAAAAAATATTCAAAAAATAATCAAAAAAATATTCACGGAAATATTCACGGAAATATTCATGAAAATATTCAAGAAATATTCAAAGGAATGATTGATTACAAAGATTATCAAATGTGATAAGGGGGGAAGGAAACCTGTGTTTGCCACATATCTTGCGTTCTACAATATTGCCAGGAAAACAAAAGAAGTGATCTTCCTAGGGAACCAGTGTGATGATGGTTGGTGAAATAAAAAAGAATCAAAAAATAATCAAAAAAATAATCAAAAAATATTCACGGAAATATTCACGAAAATATTCACGGAAATATCTAGCGAAATATTCACGAAAGTAATTCTGAAAATACTCAAGAAATAATCAAAGGAATGATTGATTACAATGATTATCAAATGTGATAAGGGGGGAAAGAAACATGTGTTTGCCACATATCTTGCGTTCTACAATATTGCCAGGAAAACAAAAGGAGTGATCTTCATAGGGAACCAGTGTGATGATGGTTGGTGAAATAAAAAATATTCAAAAAATAATCAAAAAATATTCACAGAAATATTCACGGAAATATTCATGAAAATATTCAAGAAATATACAAAGGAATGATTGATTACAAAGATTATCAAATGTGATAAGGGGGGAAAGAAACATGTGTTTGCTACATATCTTGCGTTTCTACAATATTGCCAGGAAAACAAAAGGAGTGATCTTCATAGGGAACCAGTGTGATGATGGTTGGTGAAATAAAAAATAATCAAAAAATATTCACGGAAATACTCACGAAAATATTCATGAAAATATTCAAGAAATATTCAAAGGAATAATTGATTACAAAGATTATCAAATGTGATGAGGGGGGAAGGAAACCTGTGTTTGCCACATATCTTGCGTTCTACAAAATTGCCAGGAAAACAAAAGGAGTGATCTTCATAGGGAACCAGCGTGATGATGGTTGGTGAAATAAAAAATATTTCAAAAAATATTCAAAAAATAATCCAAAAATAATCCACAAAATAATTCTCGGAAATATTCCTCGAAAATATTCATGAAAATATTCAAGAAATATTCTAAGGAATGAATTGATTACAGACATTATCAAATGTGGATAAGGGGGGGAGGGAAGCCTGTGTTTGCCACATATCTTGTGTTCTACAAAATTGCCAGGAAAACAAAAGGAGTGATCTCCTTAGGGAACCAGTGTGATGATGGTTGGTGAAATAAAAAATAATCAAAAAATATTCAAGAAAATATTTACATAAATTTTCTCGAAAAAACTAACGGAAATATTCATGAAAATATTCAAGAAATATTCAAAGGAATGATTGATTACAATGATTATCAAATGTGATAAGGGGGGAAGGAAACCTGCGTTTGCCACATATCTTGCGTTCTACAATATTGCCAGGAAAACAAAAGGAGTGATCTTCATAGGGAACCCGTGTGATGATGGTTGGTGAAATAAAAAATATTCAAAAAATATTCACGAAAATATTTACAGAAATATTCACGAAAAAACTCACGGAAATATTCACGAAAATATTCATGAAAATACTCAAGAAATAATCAAAGGAATGATTGATTACAATATTATATGTGATAAGGGGGGAAGGAAACCTGTGTTTGCTACATATCTTGCGTTCTACAATATTGCCAGGAAAACAAAAGGAGTGATCTTCATAGGGAACCAGTGTGATGATGGTTGGTGAAATAAAAAATATTCAAAAAATAATCAAAAAATATTCACGGAAATATTCACGGAAATATTCAAGAAATATTCAAAGGAATGATTGATTACAAAGATTATTATATGTGATAAGGGGGGAAGGAAACCTGTGTTTGCCACATATCTTGCGTTCTACAATATTACCAGGAAAACAAAAGGAGTGATCTTCATAGGGAACCAGTGTGATGATGGTTGGTGAAATAAAAAATATTCAAAGAATATTCAAAAAATATTCAAAAAATATTCAAAAAATATTCAAAAAATATTCAAAAAATATTCAAAGAATATTCAAAAAATATTCAAAAAATATTCAAAAAAATATCCAAAAATATTCACGAAAATATTCATGAAAATATTCAAGAAATATTCAAAGGAATGATTGATTACAAAGATTATCAAATGTGATAAGGGGGGAAGGAAACCTGTGTTTGCCACATATCTTGCTTTCTACTATCTTGCCAGGAAAACAAATGGAGTGATCTTCATAGGGAACCAGTGGGATGATGGTTGGTGAAAAAAAAAATTCAAAATATCATCCAAAAAATAATCAGAAAAGAATCAGATAATATTCATGAAAATATTAAAGAAATATTCAAAGGAATGATTTATTACAAAGATCATTATATGTGATAAGGGAAGAAAGAAGACCTGTGTTTGCCGATCTTGCTTTCTACAAAATTGACAGCACAACAAAAGGAGTGATCCTCATAGGGAACCGTTGGGTTAATGATTTGTGGAAAAAAAAATTCACAACAATCAATATAATCAGAACAATTATTGATTACAACGATAATGATATATAATAAGGGGAGGAAGACCTGTGTTTGCCACATAGGGAACCTACGGGTTAATGGTTGGTGAAATGTAATAGTTTTGGTGAGGGCAGGCCAATTCATTTGTAAATTATGTGTCTTGCCAGATTAACCACACCCCTTGCATTTCCATACCATGGTTGACTTTTTTGTAGAGCATGTCCAAGAGCACTTGTGTGCCAAATTCCAAGTCCAATCGGACATCTGGGAAAAAACTGGCCTAAAAAAAAACTGCCAAGACAAATTCCTTGTATGTCTGACATATTTTGGCAATAAATGTTTCCTGTTTCCTGATCCTGACTCCTGATAGGGGACGCTATAGAGACCCCCATGAATATGTGCATGTGTGTGCTGACTCAGCGCACACACACACTTTAAACCAGCTGTGTAAGTGAACCGCTGGCCGGTGGGTCTTGGTTTGGGGTTTGATGCTGGGTTTGACCTTTACTCAGATGAATACGTTTGAGCTTCTGTCAGCTTCTCTCATCTTATACATTTTTCATATGTAATTTATTTTTAAATACAATAAGTTCCTCTAAGACTAGTCGTAGCGAGGACCCTAATAACAATATATAACAATCCTATGATAGTTATAACATGTCCTCTATGTAGTGAAACACAGATTTATTGTAATAAATCACAAATTAGAAGAGAGTGCTGTGTCTGATCGGAGCGTAGCCTCAAATGGACATAACACTCGACTGATAGTTATTCTCATGTTGTGAACCATTGAAACTCTGGAAATGGATGATTTTAACTGCAGTTCCTGTGAAGTGTGTTTGTCACAGAGCCAATGAGCTTCGGCCTTGAGGCTCCTCATCAGCGCGTCCCGTAGGATCTAGACAAAGGTCAACACCTCGCCGTAGTTCTCCTTCACTCTGGTGACGGTATCTCCTGACCGGCCTGCCGAGAGGCTCCGCCTCTGGTTGTTTGTCTTCACAGAGCGCCGTCACCCTAAAAGTGTGTGCATGTGTGCGTGTGCACGTGTCCACCACCTCCTTCGGGGGAGTTTAACCAGGTTGGTTTGCTGTTCCCGCCGCCAGCAGCGTGCTGTTACGGGCCCCCGACCTGAGGTCTGCGCCGCCGGCCCGCTGGGCTCTTGCTCTGTTGTTGTAGCGCCGTGTGCCTCGGTAGCCAAGCAGCAGCTGAGTCCTGCAGAGCTGCAGCGGCTCAGACACACACACACACACACACACACACACATTGGATCCATACGGGCTTCAGCAGAGATCTTATATTTCACTTCAGAGCTGAGTCAGAAACTTCCTGCACAAAGTCGCTCTCCACGGTGCCTTTTTACAGACGTCTCAAGACAACGGTCCATTTTACTGTAAGTTACTGTGAGGATCTTTCACCTGGTTGTGAATCCTTTTTACTGTAGTCCTATGATACAGGATTGGGAATCAGGACGAACTGCTGCCATTGGTGGTCGGTCCAAAGTGCAACACGTGTCTGACCAGAAACAAAAAGATTGTTGGTGACTGTTCGCCCCTGAGAGGTTTGTTTGCTTCCTGATAACAGACAACCTGAGACGGGACGCTGACTCAGCACCAGGTTCAATAACGGGACCCTTCAGGTCTTCAGCGTCTGCATCCATAGACACAAGGAATCAATGCACACAGCGTGTGTGTGCATTGCCTGGTGCGTTAGTATGCACTGCATGTCATTAGGTGGGATTAACCCTTGTGTCAAAGAGGGGGTGGGCGGGGGGGCGTTTGCCTCTATTTTGCCTTCCTGGCCTCCATCAAGAACAAAACGTTCCCAACCTCGAAGTAAAAAAACAAACAGAAAACTGCTGTAAAGATTCACACCTTCACAAGACAGCGTGAGACGAGGCCTCTGACACCGGAGGAACCAATTGGTGTGATGGGGAGGATGGTTTCCAGCCAGCGGGTGCAACAGTAACACTGGAATACGTGAATAACTCCTCCCAGGCGCTCTGATGGCATTAGTGTGTGCAGGATTAAAGCCCCCACCTCCTCGAAACACTCCCGATCCTTTATTCACGTGTGGCTTCTATGAGGAGGCCCCATCTGATACCTGATGTTCTGTTTCTGTGCTGCTCTTGTCTTTAAACATTGATGAGTCAGCACACACACACACACACACTTTAAACCAGCTGTTTGAGTGAACCGCCGGCCGGGGGGTTTTGTTTTTGGGGTTGGGGGGGTGTTGCTGGGTCTGAGCTTCATTCAGATGAATACATTTGAGTGTCTGTCAGATCAAGTGACAACGTGGACCTCCAGCGGTCAGTGGAAGCTTCACAGGAGAGCGAGCCGTGTGATATTAAGACATGTCTCTAATCGGTGTCTCCGTCCTGTGTCTCTCTTCAGGGCAGAACGTGGGAGGCGGACACATGAAGCATGAGAGGGTGAAGCTGAGGCTCAGCTGACCCTTCCCCTTCCTCCACCTCCTCCTCTTCTCCCCCTGTGTACCATTTGGTCTTCGCTCAGGTCCGCGTGTCTTTTGTTCTTGTCCTCAAGGCGTCTCAGCAGGCGTTTATTCCGCCGTCGTCGTCACATGAAACTCTCTCAGCTCGACGGGTTCGTTCAGCAGAAGCAGTTTGCTCTGGTGCTGAGGCAGTAAAAAGGCTCAAGATGGATCTCGTGCAGCAGGTTTGTTTCACTCCGACTGGCCGAACCTCAGCGGCCGGACGCCAGACCCAATGCCCTCGATTAGCAATGTTTTGCTAACTTGGTAATGCTAACAGCTGGCGCACGCAGGGCATCAGTTACATTATGATGTTAAGTTATTAGTTCTAATGATTACGTTACAGGATAAAAATAATACATGTTTTGTTTTTCCACGTGACGCCACTTTGAGTCTCGAGAGTCTGAATGTTTCAGCGTGTGATCGACTAAACATCTGGAAGAACGTGACCTCTGACCCGGTCCAGAACGTGTGCTACGCACATCAGGGATACTCACTAGTGTGTTCCAGCATTTTCCTGTCCTTTCTCCCTTCTTCTGCGTTACGCTGCCCCCTACTGTTCCCAGACCGACACTACAACTTATCCACAATAAGCGGGGCGCTGGAGCCTCTCCCAGCATGCATTGGGAATAAGGTGTGGCGTGACAGGCCGTCATAGCGAAACAAGATATGGGATAGTTGAGAATTGCCTGAAAGAAATAAAATAATCTGTAGCTTTTGAATCTAAATATTAATATGAAAAGAGAGATATTATTTATTAGACACTTGAGGACATATATACAATCGATATTTAATAAGTTTAAACACGTTAACCCTCCTTCCAGGTGGAGGCCGAGAGTCATGAGCTGGTGGACGGCTCCCTGGTGGACCTCTGCGGCGCCACCTTGCTGTGGCGCACCGCCGAGGGCCTCTCGCGCACCCCCACCCTCAAGCACCTGGAGGCGCTGCGGCAGGAGATCAACGCGGCGCGGCCGCAGTGCCCCGTGGGCTTCAACACGCTGGCCTTCCCCTCCATGCGGCGTAAGGACACGCCGGACGAGAAGCAGCCGTGGGTGTACCTGCAGTGCGGCCACGTGCACGGCTACCACGACTGGGGCAACCACCGCGAGGAGCGCGAGGGCCGCCAGCGCGAGTGCCCCATGTGCCGCGCCAAGGGCCCCTACGTGCCGCTCTGGCTGGGCTGCGAGGCGGGCTTCTACCTGGACGCCGCCCCCCCCACGCACGCCTTCAACCCCTGCGGCCACGTCTGCTCGGAGAAGACGGCGGCCTTCTGGAGTCAGATCCCGCTGCCGCACGGCACGCACACCTTCCACGCCGCCTGCCCCTTCTGCGCCCAGCAGCTGAGCGGCGAGCAGGGCTTCGTCAGACTCATCTTCCAGGGGCCGCTCGACTAGGCGGGGGCGGCTTCCCAGCATGCTTTGCGTGAGGCAGACCCTGCAGTACGGAACGGGGGATACACACGTTTGGTTTTCTTTCCTGTGCCGCTGAAATATGAACTTTGATCCCGACTTTTTTGTCTCTCTCTCATTTTTAAGTGACCTTTGTATTGATTTTTTTTCATGAATGACGACAAAGATTTCTATATTTTCACGTGAAACCAGAACCAGACCGAGGACACTGCTGGCTTAAACATTTTGTTTGTTCCTCAAAAATAACTTTCAGCAACAGTATTTTTCTAAATTACTAACATGTATTCATGTTTATTGTTGCAATATCCATGTGTGTGCATCTCAGAGCTAATTTAAACAGAGACGTTTATTTATGGCTTCACCCGTTATCCGTGCGTAGTGTTTTCATTTTAAAATACAGTATATTGTTGATCAGATACAAAGTTTTAAATGTCTTCTGAGGGTTTCGTCTTTCCCGCTCGGGTCTGTCCTATTTATACCCCCCTCGTCCTCTGACCTCATGTGTCCACCCCTCCTTTCACGTTCAAAGCAATAGATTTGGAACTCAAACCTCACAAAGCATTGTGGGAAAATGAGCCCTCCAGACGTGTGTGTGACACTCGGATGGACTCCTCCCTCCCTTTAAAGTCCCACTGACGCCTTTCTGTTGGTGAGTGAATCTCCTCTGGTCACATGTTGGCAGCGATGTAGCACACACACACACACACACACACACACACACACACACACACACAATCAAACCGGCTCACCTGCACAGGTAAAACGCTGATAACGGGTATTGATCCCGGCATTGATCTGAAATAACGAACCTCAGCTTGTGTCACGTCCGACACGCTTTCAGAGGCCCACGCAGATTCTAAACAGATGACTTGTGAGGAGGGGAACTTAAAACGTGCTTCTCTCTCTCACCTGAGTGGTCGCAGTGCAGGAAGTCCCGCCCATCCAAACACGCTTCACTGTAGCCGTTTGACTCAGGTTTAAAACACACAAACGCACACGTGGATTCATGCTGCACGGTTCTCTGTCGAGCTTCAACAATCACTTTGTGGTTGTTGTTGTTGTTGTTGTACGAGCGTTTGTTTAAAACTACGTAGGCCTGAAAAATAAAAGCCTGCAGGTGAATGAAAACGTTAAATGATGAATCGTTGCAGTTAATCCCATAAGAGCTTTGATTTTATAAGAGAAGAGACGCTGATTTGAGATTTGACTTAAATATTTATGTACGATTTAACAAACTAAAATGACGAAAGTTCTCATCTGTGTTTCTTCAGTAAAGCAACGATTCAAGATGAATGTGACGTTCGGTGCTCCTCGCTTAAACTTTTAATCCCAATTTTGGTCCAGAAATGTTTAATTTGATACTTTATTAAATCCTTTAGCTCTTCAAACCAAACGCACACGACCATCAATCTAGAATTGAACGAACCCGCCGAATCAGATCAAACGCTGAGTGTTAGAAGTGAGGTCAGAGGTCACAAATCCTACAATCGATGACACGTGGAAGACGCAACAACACACACTCTGTTGAGAGAGACACACAGTCGTACTGTAGAAACCCATTAGAGAGTGTGTGTGTGTGTGTGTGTGTGTGTGTGTGTGTGTGTGTGTGTGTGTGTGTGTGTGTTCATCCTACCACGCACTCGTTCTCCATAAACACGGATTCATTCGGACTCGGACTGCAACACACTGGGTCACCTCAGGGAGAACACAATGACCTGTGACACACACACACACACACACACACAGCGCTAAAGTCTCTTGAGGTTTCCTTGTGATACAAACGTCAGTTTTCTTCCTCCCGATTTTTTTTGTTTGTCTCTGAGTAAAATGTGAGTAAAGGGCTTCACTCTGTGTCTCTGTACTGTTATCTTCTACTTCCTCCTCCTCTGCTTCCTCTTCCTCTTCCTCTTCCTCGGCCTCTCCTCGTGCTTGAAAAGGCAAAAAGCAAAGAATGTTTCCAGCAAACACTTTTTTTGTAACAACTTTAAACAATAAAGTGTAAAAGTGACACATTTCACATTTCGTGCTGGTTTATGATGAAGGAAATACAAAGTAAATCTGTTTGTGTTGCAGCTTGAGACCTGAACCCTATAATAACATTATATAACATTATGTCACATGAGCGCTAAAATCCAAACAGAATATAAATAACAAATGTAAAAAATTACCTAAATGTAACTGACTGCTGCTTCACGTAATATCGTATTATTGGAAGTAAGCAGGATTTTAATGTGGTTTGTCAGAGAAGCTAATTCTAACTACTTTATATATTTTAGTACCTTAAATAAATGCAGTTAAGTTAAAAGTAGTTAAGTATAGGGTACTATGACTCCAATGAAGTATTCTCTTTATTGAATTGTATAATCTGTTTATTTCATTGAACTTTTGAGTTGATTTGTTGTCGAGTTGCGTTTATCTGATTTACAAGAATCCATTTGAATAACAAGCTTTTGTTATTATGATTTATATATTATGTTAATGATGTCGTGCACAAACTATAATGTTTGTTTAGGTGTTAAATTTATGGAGAAAACACCAAAGCATTTTTTGAAACTGAGTTTCAAATGAAAACAATCTGTCAGTGACTCACTGAGGCTTCATTCTTTGGAAAGGTGCTATAAATAAGTTCTACACACACACGCGTGTATTATATGAATATAAATATAGCAAACGATGAGCTCAATCTTCAACGACCTGCGGCTGGAGGGGAAGCTGTGCGACGCTGTGATCCGCGTCGCCGGTCAGGAGGACTTCAAAGTCCACAAGGTCGTGCTCTGCAACTGCAGCGCCTACTTCAGGTGTGTGTGTGTGTGTGTGTGTGTGTGTGTGCGTGTGTGTGTGAAGCAGCGTTTTGGGGCCACTGCTGGAGCGATGGAGGAATGTTTTTCATCAGTCAGGGCTGAAGACTAAGTTTGAAAATGACAGACGTGATGACAGAATGACTTCAGTCCCTCGGGCCATAGAGCAGTGGAGGCCTTTGGGCGGGACTTAGTGTGATTGACAGGTCTACCAGACGTATACAGTATCACAACCTCCTCATTGTAAATATGGATTTTTTGGTTGCATGGAATTATTTACTTGACTTTGAGAAATATCTTCTGTTGCATCACATCTTTTTACCAAATAATCCTCTCGGGCAGAATTGTCATGACAAAGTTCTGGTTCCCTGAAGTCCTCCTCTGGGCCCCACAGAGATCTCTTCTGCACCGAACCGCCGGCGCCGCAGCAGATCTACACCTTCCCCACCGTGTCGCCCCCCGCCATGCGCCTCCTCCTGCAGCACGCCTACACCGGCTCCGCGGCCCTGACGCCGGAGAACGTGCTGGAGCTGCTGGAGACGGCGGGCCGCCTCGCCGCCACGGCCCTGGTCCGGGCCTGCTGCGACTTCCTGGAGGGCCGCCTCACCTCCGCCAACTGCGTGGACATGTGGCTGCTGGCGGACTCCCACGGGCGGCCCGAGCTGAGGCAGAAGGCCTACCACCACCTCCTGCGCCACTTCGAGGAGGTGGCGGCGCACGCGGAGAACTTCCTGCAGCTCTCCGCCTGGCAGCTGGCGGACGTCATCGAGCGAGACGAGCTCCACGTGGGGCAGGAGGACGCCGTGTTCCGGGCGGTCCTCCGCTGGGTGGGCCACGCCCCCGAGGACCGCTGTTGCCACCTGGTGATGCTGATGAGCAAGGTGACCGCGGATTCATGACGCGTGGGTGTAGCGCGCGCGCGCGCACGGACGTGGTGTCTTTATGGTGCACGTTAACGGACCGTTGAAGGTCTCAACAAGATAAAACATCGTTTGATATCAAGTCTTCACCTGGACAACGTCTCGCCCTCCTCCAGGTGCGCCTGCTGTTGATGCCCAGCCGCCACCTGGCTGGCGGCGTGGAGTCAGAACCCCGTGGTGAGGAGGAGCCTGGAGTGCGTCACCATGGTGCTCAACGCCATGACGGTCCATGCGCAACCCCGCCGCGGAGAGGCCGCTGACCCGCTCGCGCTTGCCCCCCAGCCGCGCTGCTGGCCGTCGGCGGCTGAGACAGAAGCGTCCCCGAACACCCACGTCCAGCTGTACGACGCGCGCGCCGACCGCTGGATGGGCGTGGCCCGCGGGCCCTCCCGGGGCTTCCACGGCTGCGCCGTCCTCAACGGAGCCGTGTACTGCATCGGGGGCTTCGACGGGGAGCGGAACCTGAGGAGCGTGCGCGCGATGGACGTCGCCACGCGGACCTGGTGGGACGCGGGGCCCATGCGCAAAGCCCGCAGCCACCTCAGCGTGGTGGCGCTGGACGGCTGCATCTACGCCATGGGGGGCTGCGACGGCTTCGGCGTGCTCAGCACCGCCGAGCGATACCGGGCCGACACCGGCAACTGGACGCTGTTGGCGCCGATGCACCGACAGCGGAGCGACAGCTGTGCGGCGGCGCTGCGCGGCAAGGTGACGTCACAGGGGGGGGGGGGGCTATAGGGGCTGCGCATAGGGATGAAAACCATCTTTAAGCAAAGAAGCGTCTTTCGAGATGAATACGTCCCTGGTAGAGACCCGTCAATCACAGTAGCCCCGCCCTAAAGGATCCCCATTTGACTCTACGTGGGTCATCGTTTACTAAACATCGAGATCATAAATAACTCGAGAGAGAAGTCGTGATCTTCATTGGCGTTGTGGCTTTCCGACGCCGGGAAGCAGAGGAATTTGATAATAATGACGTCATAGTGCCAGTTACCGCGGCAACATGAACTGTCGTGGCTTTTCCCAGGTGTATATTTTCGATGGCATCCCCTTGAACACAGCTGGGTCCAACGCAGAGTGCTACGACCCTCACGCCAACCAGTGGACGCTGATCGCCCCGATGCTCGCCGGCTGCAACGTGGCGCAGGCCGCTGCCTACGGAGACCAGATCTACGTAGTAAGCAGAGCCGCACATTGATGTCGTTCATTCACAGACTACCCGTGGGGCCTTTTTCTCCTTGAGATGGACTTCATGAATCAACAGAATATTTTCTTTCTGAAAGACCGTAATTGACACATTCAATTCTATTGGTGGCTCGGGAACGTTCCTTTGGGTGAAGGTGTCGCTTCTCGTTGACATTAAAACACCACCCCGGGGGTGTCCGTCCTCAGGTCGGCGGCGTCAGACACTTCTCCGCCACGAACAGAGTCCTCATCTACGACCCGGCCTCTAACCGGTGGAGCGAGGGGACGCCCATGATCTCTGCTCGCTCCAGCTTCGGCTTGGCAGTGTTGGAGGACAAGCTGTACGCCGCCGGCGGCTACAACAACCCCTGCTGCGTCCGCCAGGTGGAGCGCTACGACCGGGCCACCGACAGGTGGAGCCCCGTCCGGGACATGGCCGGGGCCCGGTGGGGCTTCTGCCTCTGCGTGGTGGAGCGAGAAGTCTACGCCGCTCAGCACTTGTCTCAGATATCAGGGGGAGTTCCTGCAGGTCCGTGATTGGGCTGATGGAGCTTCCTACCTCAGCAGGAACTACCAGGGCAAGCTTCCATTTTTAATTTATTAAATAAAGATCTCAATCATTAGGTCATATTGCACTTTATTCGACACGTGGTCACAGATCAACACTTATTGCTTACAGGCTGTGTGTGTGTGTGTGTGTGTATGTGTGCGCGTGCCGAGTGACAGCTGGGCCGAGGCCTCATGGAGGTTTCACTGGACACAAAGATCATAATGTGACATCACAGGGAGTGTACAAAGAAAGGCTGCCGAGGACGCACACACGGCGTTACGTAAAACAAACAAGACTGGAGGGCAGTAAAAATACACACACACACACACACATCTCCTCCACTTGCAGTTGAGATATAGATCCATCACCCCTCTTGTCACGGCTGAATTGACGTCTTTATGGAATCAACAGTTAGAAATCTGACTTCATGACCCCTGTTTGCTGTGTGATCGACACACAGATTATTAATATTACTCTAGAAGAGATGGTGAATCTGCTCTGGCAGAAAAAAAACAAGTTAGAAAAGGGTAAAAAATGAAATACAAACGTGTTTCTTTCTCTATCATAGATTTAAGTTATTTAATAACATATATAGCGTCTACAAGTGGCTCATGTACACTATTAAAGGTTAAATAACAACCTGTTCCTCCCACAGTGGACTGAGACAACAAACTGGGATGAGGCAGACTGGGTCACATGATGAGGGTGTGTGTGTGGACGCTCAGTGGTCCATAATGCGCAGGTTCCCCGACACGATCTTGTTTTCCAGCATGGAGCCGGCGGGAATGTCGATCCGATCGCCGTGGTTGGCGATGACGATGACGGTGCCCTGAGAGGAGGAAGGTTCCGTTACATTAAAACACGCACGCGGCGGGGGATGTGATTGTTAAAAACGGCGGAGTCCTTTCTTGCCTTGAGGGAGACGTTCTTCCCGAGGGTGACGTCTCCGGACACCGTCAGGTGGTCGAGCTCCAGCATGTCGGGGATGCTCTCGAAGCGGGTCAGGTACTCCTGCACCTGAACACGAGGGACGGAAGCTTCAAACTACTCTTGTAAAACATTTAAACCTTTCGGAATTACAACAATGAGACATTTCTCCGACAATAATAGCAACAATTACCATAATTTACTTATTTGTATTTTCCTTCCGGAGCCACTTTGGCCGCCGATAAAAGTAGAAAGAAATACCCGTCACATGATCATTGTTGGCGGTCACCTGGGTGAAGGAGCTTCCCAGCTTGACGTGCGGCGTGGTGGGGAACTCCCTCTTGGGGCTCATGGTGAGGGAGCCGGCGTCCAGGCTGTACAGGTTGGACATGACCAGCAGCAGGTCCGACGTGGTCTTCACCGGCAGGAAGCGGCTGCGCGGCACGTTGATGCCCAGCGCGTTGTCGAAGCACTTGATGGCGGCGCCGACCGCCGTCTCCAGCTGGACCACGTTCTGCCCGCCGTCCAGAGTCTGCGGGAAGGAGGGCGGTTAGGGACGCGAACATCTGGCCACACCCATCGGCCCCTCTCGCGTGTTCATCTCCTGAGACTGGCGGCGTCAGCGCTGCACTCACTAAGGTTTCCTCCTGCCAGCTGAAGCTCGCCGTGGAACCTCGAGTCCAACTGACTGGAAGGGCACCGCAGCTGTTGAGTCATCTGCTCACCTTGGGGTTGACGATGATCTCCAGGTCCATGGCCTTCTGCTCCTGCAGCCGCTTGATGGCGCTCAGAGAGATCCACAGGTTGTTGGTGTTGAAGATCTTGAACTTCGAGACGGATTTGAACTCGTCAACGTGGGCTTTGGGCACCTGAGCGATCTCCAGCAGACGCAGCTTCCCTTCGTACTGGATCAGCGTGCCGCCCTGACAGAGACAAACATTACATTCTATAACATATAAATTCAATCTTCTCATAATAAAACACCTGCCTATTTAATACTATCGTGAACGTGTCCAGTGATCCATCATCCTGTGTATTGATCACCGGACACAGATATTACTCATAGCCAGCAAACACACATTCTATGAATCCAGAGCGCGATTCTTCTTTTGGGACGATTTCATCCATGAACGTCGTTCCAATGAAAGCAGACTAGAGATGGAACGTTACGAATTAATCAGCAATCATATCATAAATCAGGGATATTACCTGAAGAAGCTCTCTTGCCATCATGGTTGAAATCTTAAATTGTTGTGTAAGAAAGACCCGACTCACATAATGTTGGTACTTTAATGTATGTACCTTGTATTTATTCATAAGGACTGATTTATTCAAGATGTTCACAAAAAGGGATATTTGTAAAAGAAAAACACGAGTCTCGTGTGTTTCTTAGAATCATCAGAAATACATTTAACGGGATTATTGGGATAATATTGTGAATGGAAACCTTTTTGACCGGGATACTCAAAATATAAAGAAAAAAATCATCTCTAGTAGTAACGACAAGGTTCTAAAATGTCAGTTGTCTTCCATTTTCCCACAATTACTCCCAAATAATAAATGCAGCAATAAAGACATTTGTTTTTGGTTGGATTAAACTGCGTTGAAGCCCAAACATCACGCCCATGTGTGCAGATAGATCCACATACGTCCTCACTGCACTGTGGATGCACGGCGGCGCCCTCCACCCACCTTGACGTCGGCGCGCGTCTTGTCCGTCACCTCCATGATGAACTCGCAGCGCTTGCCGTTGGGCTGGTTCACCAGGTGGTGCAGGATGTGCAGGTCCACGGTGGCCCCCAGGTTGTCGATGTTGGACACGAAGATGTACTCCTTGCCCTGCGCGATCAGCTGCTCCAACAGGCCCGAGTTGTAGAAGCTGGCGTAGATGTCCCCGTGGCCCGGCGGGTACCAGCCCTCCGCGCTCTGCCCCGTCATGCTCAGGCCGGTGGACACCGGGAGGAGGGACTCCTTGTTGACGCGCGGGTACCTGGATGGAGGAGGAGTCAGTCTGCAGGTCACTTCCTGCGGTATTCAGTGTTATTGCAGCACAAACCAGAATCTCCTCTCGGCGTTCAACACTTTTACTCAAAAAGAAGGTTCACTTTCATCATAGTTGCTCTACTTAGTTTCAGATTCAATGTTGCACTATTGGTAAGAAAATGTTTAAAAGACAACTTGAATGTTCTTCAAACTGGAATCTTTTTGATGGACTTTGTATAGTACCAAGTCATCTTAAAGTTTATTTAGCTTGTTCGGCCACCCAACAATCTTCAATCAGCACACACGGGTCTCAGTGACGCGTCACATCATTATTTATCCAGAGTTCAGTTTTCACCACTGAAGTCCGTCGGCGTGAGAACAAACCGAAGAACTTCTTCCAGAATCAGTCTGCGTCTCATTAACGAGATTAATGACACAAAGACTAAACCTGGTGAGAGAAATCCTCCTCATCGCTGCAGGGAGGTGTGTGTGTGTGTGTGTGTCCCGGTGAGGCAACAAGCCAAAGCGTCTCTCAGAGATCAAAGGGATCCCGTCTGCTTTAGAAAGTGTTTCCAGAGGAGCCGGTCAGCTGAGAGCAGAGGAGTCACATGACACTCTGACTTCAAACGGCTTCATGTTCTAACAGACCCGAGAACATTGTGACCTCTTGACCCAGAAGGAAGAGGAAGCGCAGAGAAACTTATTAAGGGTCGCAGTGATCTTCTTCTCATGCCTCCTCTTGAAGATTTTAGAATTCACTTTTCTGTGTTAAGACGTCTAAAGAACTTTTGTATCTTTGTTAAACACATTGTCGAGTTGTAAACTTTTATAATAAAGCTGCTGACCTTTATTTGGTCATGTTATCAGTGTTGTTGTGCGCATTTCTGTGTTTTTAGTCCCGTCCACTAATTATTTACTCTTCACAACAACTCCAAACAATCATTTAGATTTAATTTAGTTATAAAGAAACAGTCTGCTGGATTTGCATTTAAAATAAAACTAAAAACTTACATTTCAAAAAGAGGAACTAGTAATGGAACCCACAGAGGACACAGACGTTTACGTCCTGTCTCACTTCCGCTCTGCTGACAGAGGACGACGGTTGTCCACGTTAGCTCGTGCGTTAGCGTGTTTGCTCACCTGCTCTGGTTGAAGGTGTGTATCTTGACCCGGTGGTGTGTGTATTTCTGCAGGATCTTCTTTGTGTCCTCATCCGTGTTGAAAGAGTTCATGAGGACCAGCGGCACGTCTGTGTCGTAAGTCTTGTTCAGGTGCTGTGAGGGGGGGGGGGCAAACATTGACTTTAGCACGAGCGTCGTCACCATCCAGACACAACGGACTTCGATGAGAACTCAAACCTTCCGGCGGACGTCTGGATTCACGTTTACATGTTTGTGTGCACACGCATGCGTCTGCTTGTGCACACAACCTCTTTTAAAAGGAAACACACCTTTTCTGAGAACCGTGACGATGCTTCAGGGTGTCAAAGGGCTTTGTGGGGCGGAGCCTCCCGCCGCACACGAACGCACTCTGTGGGAGGCGGGACTAAGGGACGACAGTGTAAACACCCGCGGAGGACTAAAAGGACCTCTGTTGGTGCATCTAAAAGCAGAATGTACTTTATAATTCAGCTGTTCTGGTTTGTTGGGGAACATTAGAGCTTAATGTTTTATAGTAGATATAAAAAGGACACGAGGAGAAACCGGAAGGCCTCAAAACATTCCAAATATTTAGGATCTTAACATTTTATCCACACAACTACTAACTATATGATTTAGGGCTGCCGGATATCGTTTACTGACTTATAATAATGAAATATAATTTTCTAGATGAAGAAATATATAAAAATATAAAACATTAATACATTGGGATTTCAATACTGTCAAAATCTACATATACTATTTTAACTCAATGTGTTATGAGTCGGTCTTTCAGGTGAAGCAGTAAACGTTCTACATGATTGAGAGTTCACTCGTCCTCAGAGTACAAGTCTGTCTCTGTGTGTGTGTGTGTGTGTGTGTGTGTGTGTGTGTGTGTGTGTGTGTGTGTGTGTGTGGAAAAACAGGGATCCATTCTCCCTTTTCTAAATGGGCCAATTCACTCAGGAGGTAATGTGAGTCACACACACACACCCCACCCCCCCCTCCAGGTATCACACTGAACTCGCTTTTGCCCAAATAACGGACTCTGCGGGGCCTCCGATGGAAGTCTACCAGAACATCGCCTGCATTTCCTCGACAGTGTATCTGGTGCTCCACATGAACTAGTTTCTACATTTCCAGTCAGGTCTTGGTCAGGGTGAATATGTGTGACAGCTTCCTTCTCTGTAGTGACCAGCAGGGGGCGACTCCACCGGTCCCATAGACGTCTACGAGCAAATGACTCGTACCTCAATCTGCTGCACCGTCAGGTCCAGGAAGGTGTTCTCGTTGCGGACGCTGATCAGGCTCTTGGGGCCTTTGCATCCCATGCTGGTGCCCAGGCCTCCGTTCAGCTTCACCACCACCAGCTTGTTCAGGCAGTCGGCCACGTTGTCCGGCGGAGCGGTGCCGGCGATCTTATCGTACGGCTGGATCTGGAGGAGAAAGACGGGGAACATTTAACGAAGGAAAAAAAAAACGCTTTACAGCTCCTTGATTTCTATGTGTTGTTATTTTGCAGAAAGAAAAAACACCCGTGTAGAGACGCGTTTGTGTAAGTGGTGCAGATGATGAACTCCTGTGTGAGTGTGTAGCTGCATCACAGCTCACTTCAGCAGATCTTCCTTCGTCTCACAGGAAGGAGCTGTTCACATCCCGTTAACCCTGAGACGCTTCGTTTCAATTGAAGATTTAAAGCAAAAGCAGCACACTCGTAGTATTTCTCTTCAGGCTGAAACAAGGTCACTTTCACTTGGATTTTATTTTAAAATGAAAGTTAGAAGCAGCGAGCCCTGTGAAGTCATTCAGGGACAGCGGATTCCGGCCATTTCTGTTAGAAAATCAGAGGCGGAGAAGTAAACCATCTAAACTATCAGTGACAGCGGACCAGGCGGCAAACTCCAGATATGAAAAGTAAAGCTGCATTCTGTGTAGTGACCAGCAGGGGGAGACTATGAGGAAACGACTACTTCTCTCTTGTTTTATTCCCTCAGTAAACATTGTACACATGCGTTTATGGTCTCAGTCTATAGTTTCACGTCTTCTTCGCTGCAGCATGATGTCCATTTAGTAAATTGTCCATTTAGAGTCCAACAGACCATAAAGCAGGGGATGCTTTAGGGCGGAGCTACACGCTGATTGACAGGTCTCTACCAGCCACATATACAGCGTCTGCGTCTTCCTCAGTCCCAACATGGTCACTTCCTGTTCACTAAGACGGGGACCTATGTAGTCCAGGAGGACTCGGCAGACAGTCCAGACCACCAATCAGTGGCGTCTCTATGGAATGCCTTTTTAGTCAAAATTAAATAAATGAATAAAAACATAAATACATGAAACATGCATTTGAAATACATCATAAAATAAATTAGGCAATAAATACATAAATATTAAATACATTTAATTATTTCATGGTACTTTTATTTCATAATGCAGTTTTACATTTCACATTCTTATATGCAAATCAGGGGGCGTGGCTACATCTAACATTCAGAACAGACAACAGAGCCGTGTGCAAAAGGAGGCTGGCTAAGGGACGTGAGATTAGCGCTGCTACTACAAGCACAGGTGCTGGACGCCAGCCTCTGGATATTCCTGTATATTGGATTTCTCGGGTTGATAGACCGGACAACACAAAGTTAGTCAGCCCGTCGGCAGGAATATCCAGTCCCTTAGCCAGCCTTCTTTTGCACACGGCTCTTATCTGTTCTGAATGTTAGATGTAGCCACGATTAATTTTGACTAAAACGGCATTCCATACGTCTCCACTACTGCGTCAGCTTCTCATGTACAGACTTTCCAGCGCTCTCTTCGGTTGTGTTGCGAGATCATAGATTGTGGTTGGGATTTACAAAACGCACAGTCAGTTTCCCTTTGTTGCGCAGATGCTGTCTTTTCAAAACATAAATGATATGATGATATGCTCGCGCTTTACGTTGCAATAACAGTTTTTTAGTATCTGGTTGAGAAATGTCCATCTTCCCCACACCTTAAGACGGCAATATGTGGATGGATAATTCCCGCGGGTCGGCCCGTGGTCTCAGCGAGCTGCAGCACTCTGCGTGAACCGGCTTCATGGACTCAAAAAGCTTCTGAATTATTCATCTCGTTGGGGAGGATTTAGACTCCAGCGGTTGTTGGATTAGTTTGGTTGACTCGTCTTCAGTTTCTACTCTTCAATTCGTCAGGTTTCCCTCTTCAATCTTCGTCCTCAAAAGCCAGAGTCTCCTCTCCGCCGTCTTTACTTAACTCCGCATTTCATTCGTCTCCTCCGTCAGGTTCAAACTAACCGGGCGGCTTTGGGGAGTTCGGCTCTTCCTTCCACCGAGGAGGAAGACAGACGAAGGCTTTGTGCGTTTTAGGGCCCAGAGGAAGCGACACACAAACCAGCCGGTTTGTCATGTTCTGGACCTCTGGTTGTGTTTCAAGTGCAAGTGTGTGTGTGTGTGTGTGTGTGTGTGTTGGGGGGGGGGGGGTTAAGATGTAGTTTTAGAATAGTTTTTTTAGAGTTTTTTACTTTTTTCTTGGTAATAATGCAGTTATGAAGATATTATATTTGGTACAATCAGCTAAAGAAATGTTTCCTTTTTGGCTCCTATGAAGTTATTGGTTGATAACTGATACTTTAAAGAACATTTGTAATCGTTTTAATCCCCCAGTCAGAGTGGAGACACTAAAGAATAGTTCACCAGTAGGAAGCTAAATAGTAGAGTGACTGTAAGGAGTTCACAATATTCCATGTATGAGATATTGATATTGCACATAACTGAATTCATGCCAGTATTTGGTCTGCATTGATTGTAATGATTACTAAGAACCAAGCAAGCTCAACGTATGAAAACTGAGCCCCTTTTAAATAAGTCACTAATGTCACGATGAAATTAATGAGAAAGTTGTCAAGTTGCCGTTTATTGCAGATGTCCAAACATCTGTCATCTATTTGCCTGAATGCCTTTGTTGGGATGCAGCTGTGCGCCAAAGCTTTCAACACAATCGCAGTCTCACGGGCCCGTTTCCATAGTCACAGGTTCTCCTGAACTAAAAGTGGGATTTTACTGTGTGGAGGAGCCACATGACGGCTTCCGTAAGGGAACTTTGGTCACATGACGTTCAACGGCACATATGAAAATCACTTCATGTTTCACAAAGCGATCGCTTGGTCAAATCTGCTCTCAATACAAACAAATCAGCATGTTGTCTGGTTTCAACTCAACAATTCACAGCGGCAACGTCAGCAATTACAAATGTATAGAAACATATTAACGCCCTGCTTTGTAAACTACAACAGAACCCGACCGATGAGATGGGTTTGGCCGAGTTGAACTTAAACATGAAACTGACTTTTGATTCGCAGCATTTCAACCGGCGGAGGACTCCACCCCGTCTGAACCCATCACAAACCGGTTCAATCTTTGAGCTTCCCACATAACTAGGAAACCGAAGGCTCCTTTGTGATGGAACGCCAAGGAGAACCAGGAAATCCTGCTCAGCCTGAACCAGAGCAGATGTCATGACTCAGCTGAGCGTGGGGGGGCAGTAGATGTGACGCTGTGACCTTGCACAGGATCCGTATCAGTGGTGGAAAGTCATTTCTACTGTTATTTATTCACAGATGTGGATTTTATAACCTGTGTCTGTAGTGTCATGTAGGTACGATGGATCCCATCACACCTACATGACACTCACCTGATGGCTGGTCGGTTCAACTCTGGGAGATTTGTTTTTACAATTTAATGAAACCAGTTGGTCCTCGGCGACCAATGTCCCAGAACTAATGTGTCCAAACGTCTTGTTTCCTCTAACCCGACCTTTGACCCCAGCTCATTGTCCCGCTGGGTTTAAACATTAATAACGCTGAAGCCGACGCTGCTGCCAACGAGCCGGCTCCTGAGATGCGGCGCGTGTGATTGCATCACGAGTGGCTCCGCTGGGGCTCAAACCCCCGGTGAAACGGCACGTGTCCCGCGTAGCAGTGGGACGGACGAAAGGGGACGCGAGGGACGCGTTGCTCGCTCAGACATGGAAGCATAACTCTAGTAGATAGAAGCCTTCACACACACACTTAGCTTTGATGGTTCTAAACTGTGTAACCGGGTGTCAAAAGGTCACAAGTGATCTTTACTAATTACCTCGTTAGATACACAACCTCCAAACTTGGTTTTACAATTGCTGAATGACTGAGAATCAACCAGAGAGTAAGGAATTCACCACGAGCCGACGGTGTGATTTACAGTCCTTCAATAAAAACAGGTGAATGATTCACAGTCGGGAAACACCGAGGAACAAGAGCCAAGTATCCAAAAAGCACACGGCGGCAAAAGACGACTTTCAAGTGGAAAGTAAACAGTGACTCTCAAAGTGCTTCTCCGTCATCCCCCAGGGTGCAACTGAAGGCCCTCCTTTATTCTTATTGTATACAACGTCTATAACGTATACAACGAGGACCGTGCACAGTTTGACCTTCCAGTTACAGACAGCGCTTCCTCCATCAAACGTCGCCATCAAACGTCCGATTAGTCCAACAATCGATTAGTTCACCAGCAGGAAAAGGTCACCAACAACAAAGTCATTTTTTGCAGATAAATGTAGTTTTTAAGCATCGCAGAGAGATGTTAGCCTCAAAACTGGATAGTAGAAGCAAGGCTCCCGTGGGCTTAGAGGTGTGTTCACTCATACTTGGGGTTATTTTTAAATCTTTGCTATGTGGCCTCTGACAACAGACACTGTGTGCACACATTAACCATCAGGAACTCAACACAATATCCAGTGGTAAGACAGAAACATGGGGATGCTGGTCGGATGTTATTTTTTAGAGATGCGTTGCTCCATCACCATAAACTCTCCTTCGCACACAGAGAACGAATGAAGTGGACGTACCGAGTCCTCTGGAGGTCTTTGGATCTTGATCCACTCGATCGACGGACCCTTCACCTGCAGGAATCTGTGGAAAAGATTCTTAAAGCCCTCAAAGTCTTTCCTGGACACCTGGAAGAACAAACGGGGCTTCATTTAAACCTGTATTCATCTCAGGCACGATGCAGATGCTTCATATGACGTAGAATAGATTAATAACAGTCTTTGACGGCAGAATAATCCATTAGTAAGATGGTCGGTCGGTCACTCTGGAAGCCACTTGCTTGACCAGTGTGTAGTTAGGAGTGTGTACTGAGGGCGTTTGTGAGGACCTGGTCGCCGCGTGGTTCTATGATTCACATTGAAGTACAGCGAATCAACTCATGATACTTTCTGATGAATTTGAGGCCACGTCGAGGACAAATCGACAGGACGCATTACGTCACTACCGGGCCGACGAAACGGGTGTTTGTGACTTCATGACGCGCGTGTGTGTGTGTCTGTGAGTGTTGGCGCGGCGCTGCAGTATGTGTCACTTTTATGTTTTCACAGTATTTGTGTGTGACCCCACCCGGCCCTTTAAATCACAACCAGGCGGTCGATGTGAAGGGAGGGGGGCGGGCGGGGAGGTTGCCGTACCTCTCGCTCTTCACCCGCGGCCGTGTTCAGCAGCTTCTCCAGCTCAGCGTGCATGGAGCTCTCCAGCTGCTGCCGCATCATCTCCTGGAACTGAGCCATCCCTTCGTGGACCGCTCCTTTACTCAGACCTGGGGGGGGGGGGTTAGAGTTTTCAAGCATGCCTGAATTCTGACACATGGCTCTTAACTCAAACCATCTGCGGCAGAAACGGAATGTTCTGCTGCGGTTCTACAAGTCCTGCAAACTATTAACTGGTAGTTTTTGGTTTTGTAGAAACTTAAGAGCACAACTGAAGACTTAAAATGGTTAAAAACTCATTTCTACGCCGCCGTTGATCAAATGACATAATCACATGAATGTTGAGTAAGAAGCTATTTGTTCAAGGGCGGCCGTATGAACTAGAACAGGAGTCATTTTACAAGACGTTGTTTTGGTCTTTTCATGCTTTTTAAAATGCGGAATCACTTCTTTACTCACTTCTCTTTGGCAAACTCAAGATTTAAAGTGGTTCCTTCTAAATTAATTTGGAGAAACTAAGCTTTGTCGATAAAATAAATAAAAATATTCTGGAGCCACCAGGAAGGTTTGAATGTGGCTATCAGGTGTGTCATTATAAATGTTAGAAGTCACAATACAGATATGGAAACTAAACCATTATTTTTACCTAAACTCAGAAATACTGTGTAGTTTCCTCAGCTGTTATAGATATTACACCTTGCAATTAATTGCTTTCAAATTGGCATACATGGTAATAACCGTTTTTAATGTTGTTAATAGAGTTGTTCTGGTCAAACAGGTTCAGGGAGGCGTTAGTGTGACATAAAAACAGAAGCGAGTAAGATTCCACTTCAGTTAAAATGAAAGAAGGAGATAGGAAAGGAATTCACATAGCTGCCAAGCTGTGAGTAACTTTTCCCAATCCACCAATCTGCTCTTTTATAGATCCATTTCATTGATGAGTACATCCATCGTTTAGTGCAAAATACCTCACCGTTTCCTACATTGGGGAGGATGACGAGTTTGCAGCTTTTGCAGCCACATCGTCGGATGAAGTGATTTAGAGATTATCAACACTAAAGTGATAGTTTGCTTTCTAAAAAATGCCCAAAAGTGATAGTGGAGCAGCTTCAGGACGCAGGCAGCAACGAGGCGCTGGTGGTTGTGTGTAAGCATGCAAACCGGACAGCGCGGACACACACATGGTGGAGCCCACGAATCCATCATACATGAGGACACCATACATGAGGACACCATACATGAGGACACCATACATGAGGACGTGAGTGAATTACAGCTGTCCATCACGTCCAGGATGTGTTCACCACCGGTCTGCAAAGCCACCCGGCCACAATGTGAGGAACATCATTGTGTTCAAATTAAAATGGAACTACTGAAGAGCATCCCTAAGACACCAGAAGGGAAGGAACGAGAAAAAAAAAACTACTCCTGGAGAAGTTGATTTTATTTTTTTAAGTGGTAAACCTCAATTATGAGCATTTTAAAACATATCCATCTACTTACCTTCTACATAAAGTGCCATGTTTAAAGCTGCCAACTAGCGACCAGTTCAGAAACACGATCTCGTTAGAAAATAAAGTAAATCCTCCAACAAAAAATAAGAAAATACTTAAAGTTAAAATGAACAGAGTTAAATCCTGCGCAGCGTTCGCGGTGAGCGCCGAGGTATCATCGAGTAAAAAAAAGTCTCTTCGAGGAATAATGTGCAGCCACCGGCTCATTAATTCAGGTGAGCACAACCTGTCCACTCGCAGGTGAAGGTCTTCTCCCCGAGCAGCGTCATGGTGTCTCCGGGGCGCCGCGACACTCGCGCTTTTCTACCCGCATTCCTCCTTCTGCGTCGCTTTTTTTTTTTACACTTTCGACACGTCACAGACCCCGCGTGTTAGTTTCCCTCTGGCCCCGCCCCCTCCTCCGCTATACTTCCAATACGCCATCAAATCGACAATTATTAACCGGCGAATTGCTCCCCGCTCCACCGGGAACCGACCTCCGTGACGGGGAGCTTCACAAGCGACACGGCGGGAATGAATCCAAGAATGACCGATGGGTGGAGAGAGTTTGTGTGCGTGCTAAAGAAAACAAATAACTCCCCTTCACGAGTGTGCCGCCTTTATTTAACCATAACCGAAGTCTACGACGGGGCCCTGAACGCCACACGAACGTGTTCGATTTAAACCACAGTTGACGTTAAAAAAAAAGAAAGAAACAACGACACTTTGACGTTGAAAACCCAGAGCAACCGTCGGGCTAACAGCTAGCTAGCTAAGCGCACCAGCTCCACTCGCCGGGCGGGCTTTTAGACCGGGGTGATGTCCGCAGACAGAGAGGTGCGATGCGGTACCGTTAGAGGCATGTTCTTACTGTGTGACTTGCAGGATGCGGCGGCAGAGAGAGTCGAAGCGGGTCGGCCTGGTCCTGCGGGTCCGAGCCCAACCACAGCAATCCCGCACAGGCGACAACGGGGTACACGCTCAAATATATAGAGATATATTAGTGTCTTTAATGGGCTTTCGCCTTAAAACAACTGGCTTCTGTTTCCCGTGGACGTCACAGAAATGTGTTTTTTTAAACGTTAAATGAAATAGCAACTGCTGAGGGAAAACGCCATTAACCTTAGTTTGATGATATTTTAGACAACGGAGCCAATCCAGCCAATGAGAACGTGCCAGAAAGACGGCAGCCAATGGGAACGCTGCTTAGCCCATGACGCCAATTTTGCCAACCAATAGATTTCTGCAACGTGCGATAAGGTTTCTGTCAGTTCCGGGATAAAGACAAATTAAAGTGTCGTAAAACCCCAAATAAAACCTCATCATTTGGGTTAGGGTAATTATTGAAGAGCTTTAAAGTAGCGATTCATACTTTAAAGTAGGTCCAATATAACAAGTAGTACCACACTGATTGGGAAGCATTTATGCCAGCATTTTATTTTATTTTATTCCTCGTGCACTGTAGTACTGTCTGCTGTTATGCACCAACCGCCAAGTCAAATTCCTTGTATGTCTGACATATTATGGTAATAAATGATTCCTGATCTTGATGAGATTTATGAGATTTACCCGACTCATGTTGGAGTAGTGGATGTTTTTGGTGATTAATCATTTTTAATGATTAGAACTCATTTTAATCAACACTATAACTGTATTGATATTATATAATCATTCCTGGTGCTGTCTGGAGGTAAAAAATAGAAAATATTGCCTCTGGTGAAACTATGACCCTGCATTGTACGTCTGATAGACATTAACCATCTGCCTTACATCACAATACAGGGAACTATAAAAACATTGGTCCGTGTGATTTATTTTCACCCCAAATGATAGCTGAAATATTTTTAAATTCCTGTGTTATTTTATACCTATATGATAAACTGTTAAACATTATACTCACGCTGAAACAATAAAGTTCCAAGAGTAAGAAAACATCTTAGTTTATAGCACCATCCACCTGTTTACGTATAAAACAACATTTAGAGGACTGAAGTCTTTATCGGCACAACCTAGACGAGAAGCAGCAAACTTCACAGACCCTCGGGTTAACATAAACATTCCTGTAAAAATGCCCTAACACAAAATTACCCAAGTAAAATCTAAATCGAGGCAGGGGAGAAAAAAAATCCTAGGCCAGTTGTCCCTGTTGCATTTTGCACTCTGTTAAAGACACTTTTCCACACACGGCCAATAAAATGTTGTTCGACTTTCTGATGACTTTCAGAAGAACGACACAGGAAAACATTCACTCCTGCAGCCAATTTACAGTCCGTGCTGCAAAAACCTACAAATGCCTTCATTCCATTTTTTGTCTGTAAGATAACAAACATAAGAAAACCTCAAAAACACAACTGTTTAGATTTAGATTTTATTAATCAGCATTAAAAGTTTTCAATTTCAGCATCTGAGGACAAAATATATGCAACAATAATTTGTGTTTTCTCACCCAGAGGAAAATACTCTACCTGCTAACAAATGAGATGGACTTTAAATGTTCCACAGAATACTCAGGGTGGAGTTCTACTTGTGCGTCACACTGCTGTGGAAGTCGCTGGTGATGCTGTGCGATTAACTTTACACTCATAAACACTGACTCACTCTCTTACACACACACACACACACACTCTGGGATTGTCGGAGTGCTTCGTCACAAGCGTGCGTCTGGAGTTTGGCGTCCGTCTGAGTGCTGGTAGGGCGGCGTTGCTGGGTGTAGTCATACTCCCAGGAAAGACACAGCAGTGTCTCTCTCCTCCATCAGCTCTGCCGCCGTGGCCTCCATCTTTGATCGTGAAAAGTCGTTGACGGCGAGGCCGTCCACGATCTTCCAGGTCTTGTCCTGAGGAGGCAAAAACAATGGTTTTTAGAAGCGGTTGCTTCATATGTGCAGCAGACATTAAAAGCATGCAGGAAGGTGCAGGCTCACCTTGATCTGGACAGGGAATGAGTAGATGAGGTCCTCTGGGACTCCGTAGGAGTTGCCGGAGGAGTAGATACCCATGGAGATAAACTCCCCCTGAACAAAAGGAGGAGACACTGGTTAAAACCAACCAGCAAGCTTTTGCTTCTGAAAAGTGAAACCGAAGTTGACGTTTGTTAAACCTGCATTCCCTCTAATGTCCATTAGGTTGTTTTGAAGACTTGTGTTTTCAGCAACCAGTGAACAGGAAGTTACCATATTTGGACTGAGGAGGATGTAACCATGTAGTTTCTGGTAGAAGCCTGTCAATCACAGTGTAGCCCCGCCCTAAAGCAGTTGCCCCCTGGTGGTCACTAGAGAGGTTGCAGTATAAGACCCTTCCACATTGGCTTAGTTAAACTCACTACATGAAAATATTTGGTCTCATCTCATTTTTTTAATTTTCCATTTTAGTGTTTCTTTGTTAAAAGTATACTTTCTGTTATTGTTACTAGGAGGCGGGCCCTCCCACCTCGCCATGACATTTAAATATGGCGTTTACCTCGGGGGTGCCCGACCAGATGTCCTTCATGTGGTCACAGATGGCCTTAGCGGCGGACATGGCACTGGACAGCTTCCTGGCCTTGATGACGGCGGCGCCTCTCTGCTGCACGGTCTGCAACACGAGAAGAAACGCGAAGTCTGCCAATCAAGCAATTTCAGAACACACCGAATCCACTGAGCTAACGTTCTTCCACTCACGGCGATGAAATCTCCTTTGAGCCAGGCGTCGTCCTTCACCGCTTCGAAGCAAGCGAGCTCGCTGCCGGACATGTTGACCAGGCAGTGGTGCACGTCTGGGTACTGGGTGGACGAGTGGTTGCCCCAGATGATCACGTTCCTCACCTGTGTGGCGGGGACGCCACAGCGCATTGCCACCTGACAAAAACATAAAAAAAGGTCTGCGAGTGTTAATTTGTTAAAAGGAACGTTGTGAAGGGGGGGAACCATGAGGAAAAGGCACCTGAGAGCGAGCCCTGTTGTGGTCCAGACGGGTGAGGCAGGAGAAGTTCTCCTTGGGGATGGAGGGAGCCGACTTGGCTGCTATCAGACAGTTGGTGTTGGCGGGGTTTCCTACAACAAGCACCTGCAGCGCACAAGCACACGCACACACTGGAAGTCATGTGCAGGGCTAGTTCAGAGATTGATTCATTATTTTGGTGATAAACATAAAGTTCATTATTCTTTTAACATAAATGTTTTGTTCTGCATACTTTGTGAACATATATTAATTTTGTTTGAGTAGAATTAGCTGTGTAGGTTTATTATTGTAAATGTCAATGAATACATTTAATACTATATAAAAGCTGTACATGCTGTGGGGTCGTCGTGGCGCAGGGGTAAGAGAAGGTGTGCTGGGAAGCACAAGGTTGGTGGTTCGATTCCAGGCTGCCCCATGTTCCATGTCGAAGTGTCCCTGAGCAAGACACCTAACCCCTAATTGCTCCCCAGGCAAAAATGTGAAAAAAGCCATGGGTTTAAAGTGTAATGTAAGTCGCTTTGGATAAAAGCGTCTGCTAAATGACCTGTAATGTAATGTAATGTAATGTACATATGCATTATGCTTAAGGTGCTATGAAACTGAAAGCATATGGTTTAGCATTAGATGATCAGAGCACAGCAGCATTACGGGTTTAACTCTGAGGAACATTTCTAACTGTGGAACTCAGCCGGAGGAAGAATAGTTTCACTAAAGGACTAATCATCTAAACTCCGAGTCCCGCCTCCGTACCTTGACGGTCTTCTTGGCGAACTTCTCCAGAGCGGCTCCCTGACTCTTGAAGATGGCCACGTTGGCTTTGAGCAGGTCCTTCCTCTCCATGCCCTCCCTCCGAGGCATGGAGCCCACCAAGATGGCTGCGTCCAGGTCCCGGAAGGCCACGTCCTCCTTGTCGGTGGGGACGATATCTGAGGAGCAGAGGTTAAGGGAAATCATTAATGGTACTTTTTTTTAAGCCACACAACAAATTCCTACATCAACATCTAAATACACTTTTGTCTTTGACTCAGAGATTTTACCCCTGAACACATTTTGGGGGCAGACTCTGGTTTGGACCTGGCCACATCTCCAGGGTTACACAGAATCAGTCTGTGATCCCCCCCTGACGCGAACATTAAACCTCTTCATACATTCCCTAAAACAAAGTACAGCGGCGCTCCGGGTCCACGTCGTCCACCAGGAGAACGATTTGAAACCAAACTTATTTCCTAAAACCACTCGTGCAAACCGGTTTGAGGGATCCATTGTGCCCGGAGCGTGGTCTCTGCAGCAGTAGGTTAATGCGGGGGGGCCTCTCGCAGCCAAACAAAGCAAAGGAAAAATACCAGGTCACAATGGAGGCGGAGCATAATGGCGCCTCACGGCTGCATGTCATGTCAGAGACTGCTGGGATGACATCAAAAGTCTGAATGGAAACGACTGAGGGTCTCGGAACAAGGAAAAAAACTCCCAACTGCAAAAGTGTTTAATGATATTTAAATCAAACGGCAGGAGGTAAACTTTCCACTAAGAATAACTACAGGCATAAGGCATATAAGAATCTACACCACAATACTTTACAGTGTCCCACCCAAAGTTCGTCACCTCTCAGAAGTGGGAGAGCGCAGTCCTGCAGCTCCATGACGACGCCATCCAGGACCGGCAGCATGGGCGTGATGTCCAAGAGGAGCAAGACGACCGGCTGAAAGGGGGAGGAGATAAAGGGTATGAAATGAATTTGAATCAATTAACATACACATCTGAATCCAAATGACACTTGAATGTCACAACTCTGGTGACCTATAAATGACTGTCTCTGGAACGGAGGGTGAAAGCCGACGCCACGTGTCCAACGGATCAAGTGTTGTGTTTTTAAAGTCGGCCTCGGCACCGACTTCAAGGGCGATCTTGGCTGGCCCCGTGGTGCAATCGGATCCCTTCCCACAGGGGGAAACATCTGTCCGATGCCTGTATCGTGTATCACCTGGAACAGCTGTCTGCTGTGCGTGTTTGTAGGTCGGTTTCCTGCCTTAACACTGTCTAATGAGATCAGGGAATCGAGCAAAGCCCTTCTTTACCTGATCTTTGCCAAAGACATCTCCCTTGGCGATGCTGAACAGCAGGGAATAGGCGATCTGCCCGGCAGCACCGGTCACCAGAACTCTAATGGGCTCAGACTGCAGGGACACAAGAACTGGGCTGGTCAGTGTGCACAGGTACGATTATGGGGGGGCAAGTGTTGATTGTCCAGGGTATGCGTTGGGTCTATTCCTGTCCACATGATTTACTAAAAGCAGGAGGGCGAATGGGGGGGGGGGGGTGCGCTTTAAAAATAGACTCCCCATGCAAAACTCACTGTTACATGACAAAAACATAAAAAAACACGATATAATTAGATTATTGAGCTCATCGATATATTTACCATTCACTCATAATCAATGTTGCACGCTACCAAAAGCGTTCACAAGAATACAATTTAAAAAGAAATAATTAAAAAGTCTCATCTCGACACAGACTACAAGTGTAGCTCATCGTCTCATTCGGTCACGTGGAATAACTTCCAGCGTTAAAGCGCCCTAAAATAATACAATAATCTCTCACTCACCATGTTCGCACGATGGCTCGGACTGCTTTCCCTCCGTGGATCTCTCTCCCACGTCTCACTCCTGCGCGGAGGTCACTCGTATTTAACTCCTCCGCGGATCACGACACCCCTAACCGCCTGACGGCAGGTCGAACCCCCTGGTCATTGTAGTTCTTTACTAGTTATGTAGTCCAATTTTCGAAAAAGTTTCAAGAAGCGTCGTTATCAATAGCGGGAGCTCTATCGCTGTCCAAACATCCCCGTGACGAGGTATCTAACGAGCTGACGCTAGCGAGGTGCGCCGCGGGCTGCTAGGAGGTGCTAACGACCTAGCGGTTAGCACAGCCCCGACGGAAGCGCCGCTTGCCGTTGCCTAGCGACCCGACGGCGGCTAGCATCGAGGGCACGGCTCGTTTGCGTGCTACGTTAGCTACGTTAGCTTAGCCGCGCGCTGGGCGGACGAGGGGCAGACCCGTCGTGTGCAGTCGGGGCGACCCGGTTGTTTCTGGAGAGAGTGACTCGTTTATTTGGCACAAAGTTGTGACATTAATGGCCGACGTGATGCTCGTGGAGCGCCGGACGTTCGTTGCGTCACTGAAGTAATCGAGGTGAGTTGATGATGGAACGTTAACTAACGTTAATATGTCCCCCCCCGTATGTACCAACATCGTCCACGCTGTTAATGAAGTACGACTAGTACTTAGCTAACTTAAATGGTAAAGTTTATATTCGTCACATTAAGACATCAACAACCGCCTTAATTAATAATAATTCATACGCATATTGACCATCTATCTGAATCAGATATCCAGCGAGCTGTTTTGGGTTGAAAAGGCGTTGCAAATTGGTTTAAAAATTTTTTCAACATCTATTCGTGGACGTTGAAAATATATATTATATATATATATATATATATATATATATATATATATATATATATTTATGTTTATATAAAAATATATATTTATACCACATTTCAACGTCATTTTTAATACGATAATCTTTATTTTTATTTTGGAGGTTTACCATCGATATTTAAAATTACGTGGAAAACGGGTCTATACGTGAACGTCTTTTCAACGTCTACTAATACAGGTATGTTAACAGCTCTTAACAAGGACAAACGTTATTTTATTAATTTGTATTTATTATAAATATAACACTTGCTAAATAAAAAACAATACAAAAATTAAATATATTCAGGGAAAGAAACTATGAAATTAAAAGTGCAGAAACCACATGGTAGTAGTTTAGAATTCTGTGTTTGTAGCCAATTTTTCTGAATCTATTGAACTTCATTTTCAGATTCTGTAACCAGATCTGGGTCACTTGAGTTGGGATAGTATACCTGAAATCATCTCCATCTCATCCTCACTTGATGATTCTTTGAGTAAAGGAGTCAGAATGCGCAGAGCACCCCTCAATTGCAGATTCCTCTTGTCAACGAGTTTATTCAATTGAAATAATTTTATTTTGCTCAGCTGTACAGTCTGTAAACATGCAACATCCGGTCCCAAAACCCTCACATTGGCACAGGAAAGACCCCCCCCCACAAATGTAAAAAATCCCCTTCAACTGGGAGAAACCTGAGTGAATAAACAGTGTAGGTGTGTACAGTACATTCAATTCCTACGACAGAAATGATTCAAGTATTGTGGATTATTAAGCCAGGTGTAAGGCAGGACCAGTGCAGGGACCACCTCCATCAGATGTAACCTCCACCCACAGAAACCTGTGAGGAGGAGGAGGGCAAAGACTTCAGGGAAGAGGCAAAGTTGGTAATTTGGGGTTGACAGTAATAGCAGCAGGTGTTAGAACCATCATTTATAGATTGTTTACTTATTACATCATGAACAAGATAACAATTAATCTGCTACTTATTGCATTTCTGGAGTAACATCTCCAGGTATATTACACAGTATCATGCTTTAAGCACGCAGTAACTTACAATGTTTCGGCCCTCTTGTTTACAGACCACAACTTGCATTGATTGATTGATGATAGTGATATTAAAACGTGTATTTTCAATATGAAATGGGAAAGGCAATAATACTATATGCATTAGCATTAGCAACACCAAACACACAGAAAACATTCTGGGATGTTGTTTACTTTTGGTCCATGTCATCACGCTCCAAGCTAGCATGCTAACTAGCAAACTACCTGCGCTAACGCTAACTAGCTTACCAAAAAGAACAGCGTTTCCCGCCTGGAGTGAGCAGCAAGTAAAACAGCTGGTTATAGTTCCAGCTGTGCTTCATCCAAACACTCAGTATTGGAGCCGATAGTCGTGGTTCTTCTCTTAAGAACCTTTCATTCTGCTTTTTCTTTCTTATAACGCGCAGGAACATTGATTGATTAAAACGGATTTACCTGCTCTAATTATATTTCTGTGCTACTAATTTCAGAGGGCATTTCTGTTGTCATTTCCATTTGTTGTTTGTTTAAATAATATCTTTTTATTTAGTGTTGTGCCGAGAGGAAATTTACATGACTTGGATGGTTATCGCCCAAACTCTTTTTGGTGAATAGATGTTTTTGTCTGTGTACATAATAAAATATAGCTTTATCCGGGATTTGGATCCCCTGCTCCATCAGAATATTGAGAAAAGGCTTTTCATATCGACCAAAATCCCTGTGCAAGTTTTCTTCATGATAAAATCAACTTATGATATCTGCAACTTTACCGGGAGACTCCTGTGTTTGCTTTCCTCGCCTGGCAGCTTGTCATGAGGGGTTAGATATACCTCGCTTTGTAAAAAGAGGAAATAATGAAGTGTGTGAGGGTGCTTTTTCATCCCACCCTACATGCACATATCCCACAGGACATAAACACACCCACCCACGTGCACACGTACAGACTACACGCCGTCACGCTCTGAGTTGTGAGAATTTTCACGTGGAAAGCGGCGCGTCTCTTGGCCTCCGTCCCCTCGGCTGACCCCTCTCTATGTCCATCATCTTCTCCTCCTCCTCTTTTGTTCCCCTCAGTCATCCCCGCCTTCCTCAACCTCCAGCCGGCTCCGTCCTCTCCCACTTTATCTCCCCTCCACTTGTCCTGCAGAGTGCACCTGAGTGACCCCGTCGCGTTGGCAGGTGGGAGGCAGATAGCCAAGCACACGCACCGGGCCTCGGCATCGAACCTCTTATCTGCTTCCACTAGTTCTCACATGGTGCAGGCGGACACGGCGAGATATTAGCAGCGGTGGGGGTTGGCTTTCATTCACACTATCGCATCCATACGTTAGGGAACCGTGGCGGGATAATGACATCGCCAATGTCTTCCTCATCGTATCCAACGTGCCGTCACCCGGTTCATCTCTGTCTCAGCCGCTGAAGCTTCCGATCTGATGGCAGATTTAATATTGTATTTTTATTTACCTCCCTGTAATACAGGGCAGCTGTGCTTCTGCCCCGTCCTGTCGTTAGGTGCAGTAGCCAAGAGAGACCTCTGGGTGTCAGTGTAGAGCTGCACTTACCAGTTCAGCTTGTAAACTGGTGCTGAGGGATTTGTAGTGAAGCCACTTGTTGCCGCAGCTGAAGTTTGGGCTTCAACATCCGGGTTTGTGACAGTTTCACACTGAAATGTGATAACAACGTTCTTTGTGTCCAAACTCTCAGCTCCACATTGTCAAGTTGAATTTGTCACAATCTTAACAAGCAAGTATGTTTTAATACAGTTACAAAGTGCTCAAGGGATTGTGGGTCAGAATAGCCACAACTGCATGCTGGCTTGAACACACCATGAATTGGTCTTCATTCGTCCCCAATGAGGAAGAATCAGTAAGAAGGCAGGATGGAGGCTGTGACGCTGAATAGTTTCATGCTCTTTGAAGCACCTGCTCTCTCATCGTGGGCCACAAGGGGGCACCAAACCGTCACATGTCGGCCTGCTCGTTGACGTTCCTGTTGATGCCTGTTGACTTTATTTTTTATTGTTTTTAACTCACTAAAAGATAAACACACCAGAATGCAGAGCCAGTTTGATGTGGCAGAAAACACACCGCGGGGAGGGGGCTAGAGGTCTTTACGTTGTTTTAGCATAACAAGGACCCCCCCACACACACACACACACACACACACACTGACCCGACCACACCGCCTTTCATTAACTTCAAAACCCAAATCCATCCAATTGGACTGGACGATGGGACCTCGCTGCCTTTGCTGGCGGTCACACCCTCCCGCACAGCCACAATGGCGGGGGCCCGTAACCACCCAGCGCTCCCCCGTCCCACCAGAGGCTGGCGGCCTGCAATTCACCAGAAAAACGCAGCTTGTCCCTGTTTGTCTGCTGCACTCACTAAAAAGCAAAAGAATGTGTGTGAGCTCCCCCCCTCCCACCCGCAACAACATGGCTGTGTGGGGATTAAGGCCCATTCCGAGTGGCTCCGGGTCGTGCGGCAGATGTTAGCCAGGATAGCGCTGGTTGCCGTGCCGACAGTGAGCCGGGCGGGATCAGCCCTGCCCAGACAACATACATGTTGTCTGGGGGGCTCAGACTCCCGCTCACATTCACAGAAGGAGCGGATGGCATTTAACAGCATTTGCCACGGAGACACTGGTGACATAAAAGTTTTGGTTTGCGACTGTCGTCGTTTAGCTGATGGAGGCACTTCAATGGGAAGAGGATACGGCGTCTAACAAGACATGACTTGACCCCTCCATCGTGTGTGTGTGCGTCTATCAAGTTGGACGGACACAAGCTCTACGTCCATTGTGTTCTCTGCGGACAGGTTTTCACGCTCGGCTGTTTTTTAGGCTGGCGGACAGATGGAGAATAGCCAGATGTTTGTGTGTCCGTGCTGCTGGTTTCAAACCTCAGCAGCAGCTTCACAGACCAGCGACGTCCTCCATGATGAGAATAACTCCTCCCCGATTCTCTTCCTGCAAGAATGGACAAACTTTGTTGAAGTTGCCAGATTGTGTGTGTGTGTTTAATCGCCCTTGGTTATGCATGCCATAGTCACGGACTGTACGTATACGGACCTGTATACGTGGTCAGATGTTTTGAAGACTGTTTTGAAGTTTGGCAATTCCATCGTTTCCATCTTGGATTGCAGCCGTCGCCATGTTGTAGGTTTTATTTAGTGACCAATGAACAGTAGGTGACCATATTTGGAATACGTGGGAGTGACACAGAGACG